ATTGGTATTTTGACGGCAACAAATTAAGCTTGAATCAAGAGAGAAATACAGCACCTCAATTTCTATGCTGGTTAGTAAAGTTGTAGGAGGGGTGGAAGCTTCATTGCGGGAGACCTCAAACCATTTGTTCATGTAGCAATCTGCTCCAATTCCAAAGGGGTATGGGATGCTGACATTCCCACAAAACTCTTGACAACCAGGCATTGCCAGAGCCTGGCCTCCTGCTGATTCAATCATTAGCAGTTCTAAGAAAACAAAAATAGATAATGTTCGGATGATCATTATTCTTTTGTTCCTTAGATGCTTATTAGATTTGAGATTTAGATAGCATTGTGTAAGTGGAACTTTATAATATATAGTTGAGATGAAGAAATGTATCCATTTTTCTATGCATGGTCTGGGACTAACTGCCCAAACAATGAAGTTCTAAGGAAGAAAGAATCAACTAGCTGGCTTCACTGACACTTTAATACAATGTTTACTGGCAAAATTTAATCCACTTGAAAATTCCTCCCTTTTTTAACCTTTTTCCCTTCTAGAGGATGGTTGGTCCACTTGGATGGATATTCTTAGCTTCTGTTTTACATAAAATTCTAGTGCTTAAGGGTCCATTTGGTTTGTAAAAAAATGACTTCATTTTGAAAAATATTTCCCTCCAAAAAGATTATTTTTTGTTGTTTGGAAATTGGAACACTTTGGAAAATGTTTTCAGGAAAATATCTTCTGTTTTTTTGGTAAGCAAAGAACAATCTTCATACTTTCGTAAGATCCACCAAGCAAGGAAATACATACTCAAGGTTTAGCTGACGGTTAATGTATATGCTGTCTGAGTGGTGAACATTTCAGGATGGTTGAACTGAAATTAGGAAATGAATTTGTGCTAGCCTTTTGAGAAATAAAAATAAATAACTTATGCATACACATATTAATACGTATATGCATATGGCACCAAATCTAAAAGGTACGTGACATCTATCATGTGCTGAGGACTTGGTTTAGGCTTGGCAAGTTTTTGACTGTGTTTTGGCCAAAAAAAAAAAAAAAACACGAAAACCAAAAACCTTGGCAAATTTTTTACAAGTCAAAGTGAATTTAAAACAGAAATAGAAATGGTTCAATAATACTTTAGCCTGCCAATTATATCATAACCATGTTGCGCAGAACATTTATTTGAACTTTGAACTGCAAAGTGACAAAAATAAAAGTTTGAATGAAGTAAAAATTTTCAAACACAAACAAAGAAAGAGCGTATTATGTCCCCAAACATGAAATAAATGCATTCTAGGATAGATCAGTTAAAGCCCCATGATTGACTGGAAATTAATGGCTCCATGTCTAAAGACAAAGCTGCTTCAGAGTCCAAACCTGAACCTGTTGAAGATGAGTCACCATCCCAGATATTGGTTACTTCAGTTTTGACATACCTAACCTCTTCATGATTTTGTTGACCATTTGAAATGTTTTGCTAGAGACGAATCTGCACTATCTCTGCAGCAACTTCTATCATCTTTGGCCACTTTTTACCTCACAAGCTCAAGCATCAATATGCAAGTTTAGTATCCTTTGTTATCTCTTAATGTGCTGAACTCTCCCTTACTTGAGCATCAAGAATATTAAAGAGTCTAGTCTCTTCCAAGGAAAAATGAAATGTGAGGCCCAACTTCTTGCTTCCACTTCCTCCGTCCCTTCTAAAGAAATTGGTTTTTCTTCAGTTAAGAGCTCAACAAGGACAACTCCAAAGCTGTAAACATCACTCTTTTCAATAAATTGACTTGACTAGAAATATTCAGAGTCCAAGTACCCAAATGCGCCCTTCACATTTGTGGTCAAATGAGTTTGATCAATGGCAATTGATCTTGATGTCCCAAAGTCTGAAACTATTGCCCTGCACTTTTCATCTAATAGAATATTTGAGGACTTGACATCTCTATGATAAATGGGAATGGAGACTGCTGAGTGCAAGTAGGAAAGTGCACTTGCAACTTCTGCTGCAATTGTTAACCTTCTTTCCCAAGTTAGTGGGAAGCCTTCATTTTGATCATGTATGTACTGGAAAAGTGTCCTGTTGGAAATGAATTCATAAACAAGCAGAGGAACTTCAGTCTCCAAACAATGGCCTAGTAACTTAACAATATCTCTATGATTAATTTGTGTAAGAATGACCACCTCATTGATGAACTCTTTAACTTTCTCTTTATGCAATATTTTGGTCTTCTTAACTGCAACAATTCTTCCATCAACCAGCATTCCTTTATGAACACTGCCCTGGCCTCCTTGACCAAGTATTCTATTTTTGTTGAAATTGTTAGTCACTCTCTCCAACTCTTTGGTACTAAATATTTTGGTTTTTCAATATTACCCTCAGTTGAAGATAGTTGTTGCTTCAATAATTAATCTCCATTTAGTTTGAAGAACTGCTTTTGAAGCTTCTTTTTCCTTCTCTTCTTTAAGATTTTGTACAACCACCATGTACCAATAGATAAACAGTAAACAAATTACTCCAAACCCTAGGCTAATACCCGCAGATATCAAGAAAGAAGAAACAGATGACTTTAGCAAGAGAAACACATGTATATCAACAGTTGATTTATATAAATGTCCAGTTTCATGGTTAGACCATTCAAATTTCAAAATGAAATGGAATGAAACCAATAAAAGTTCACAGGATTGTGCATGGTCTATAAGAAAGATCTTTAGGTGAAAAAGATGATGAGAGATGGTGTTAGTATTGAAGCTGGGGTGGTAGATAGACAAACAAACCTCCCTTTGTTACGACTGTTGGCTACCAGAGGACAGAATTTGTGAAAGGCAACAAAAAATAGCTGAGTTCACTGTGGGCAGCATGAAACAAAAGTTCTCAGTGGAGACAATCTGGATGGCAGATACCAACTAGATATTCTGGTATGGTGGCTGAGATGAAAGGCTTGACTTTGTCTAAGGGAG